AAGGAAAGGAAAGGAAAGGAAAGGAAAGGAAAGGAAAGGAAAGGAAAGGAAAGGAAAGGAAAGGAAAGGAAAGGAAAGGAAAAGCCCAGTAGAGAATCCATACCCACAGACCTTTTTGTGAATCACTATGAATCTCTTCGGATACCAGAGTTCCCTGATTACATTAAAGTTTTTTTAAAGAAAATTTTGGATGAAATGAAAGCTTGAACTTAACTTACAGGTTTTTGAGCACCAGTGGAGGAAATGACCCCATCTCAAGCACAGAAATATTGTTGTTACTGAGATCTAAAGTTTCGAGGGATTGAAATAGTTTCAGTTCTTCAGGCAGAATGTTCGTGATCTTGTTATTTATCCTGAATTAAAAATTAGCAATCACATTAAAAACAATTTCTGGACCACTGACAAGCTTTATATATCCCAATAGTTTAGTTAAATCATATACACAGTCATACATTGCATCAACATCATATATTGTTTAGGAAATAACTAAAATTTACTAAGTACCAAATAAAAATTAAAAAGTTTTGAAATGGAATAAGGGAAAGGGAAGAATGCGAGCAAAAGAAGTATCAGAAAATAATTTTGAACTCTAATCCAGAGTTCACTAAAAAATAGACTTATAAGTAATAAAATTAAGACATTTTATAAGCAGCAAGTGCTGCACACGAACAGAAAAGAGAATCTACTGGTTCCCAGCCACAATATACTAACAAAATACAATTAAACAAAAATTAAAGAAAGTGAGAGGGGAAAAAAACATTTTCTTCCAATAAAAATGAGGAGAAAAGGAAAAGAAGTAAAAGAATAAAAAATACTTCCTTAGGAAAGTATCATGATAATCAAAGAATTAAGACCTCTGTTTTTGAATAAGCTACCCAAATAGGAAGTCAAAAATTTAAAAGCCCACTTACAAAAACACCCGAGAAAAGAGGCAGAATATAATATGAAATAGTACAAGAAAGATCAAATCAAATTAAAACTCAAAATAGAACAAATGACCAACAAAAGGGCTATGAGGAAATAGAAGGGATGACTAGAAGATGAATGTAAAGAACAGGGTGATATGTAAGGAGGAAACCTAAGAAAGGAAATTTATCAAATAGACAAAAGGATATTATTTATCCCATAAAGAACAATATACATAGTTGAATTAAATTCAGTTGATATATTATCATATCATATACGTATATATTATAAACATGAAATGAATTTGTGAGACAATCATTAAGAGTATCACCATAATTGCAATGAGAAACAGTCAACAGAACAAAAAATGGCTTTTGATTATACCATTTACATGACATACAAATATTGGAATTATGTCTTTCTGCTACAGCTGTGATGGCGAACCTATGGCATGCATGCCAAAGGTGGCACGCAGAGCCCTCTCTGTGAGCACATGAGCAGTTAGCCCAGCTCAGCTCTGCTGCGCATATGCACATGCGGGGTGCATGCAGAGGGTCACACATGCATGCATGGGGGGGTGCATTGCATTTTGGGGATGCACATGCATGTGCATGCTTTGGGCACTTGGTGCCGAAAAGGTTAGCCATCACTGTGCTAGAGTGTTTGCAGATATCCTAATCTAAATTAAATTCAATTATTTGGGGAAAACAAATGAGTCAGAATTTCCTGAGGATTATTCCAGCAAAGGAAATTATCTTCTCCATTTTTGAACTTTCAATTAGATATCTGATTAACTGTTATTGAAGTACCCTACCTTTCTTCAGATAAAATTCTGTTAAAAACTAACCCTGTATCATTCTCCTCTGCTTATAACCCTGTAAAGTGACTTCCGCCCTTCAAGGAAAACTACAGAAAACTGTGGAGAGCAGAGTATATAAGCAACAAAGGTGCAGTACCACATCATTACAGAGAGGTTTTTAATGTCTCTATCACAACTGCATCTTTTCTTCCGTGTACATTATGTCAAGACATTTGATTCTAATTACAGAATGATTATAGTTTTCAGGTCCAAAATTAAGAAATACTGTCTTTATTGTTATAAAGGTAAATCCAGATTTTAGAAGACTCCAAAATTGCTTGAGTGAGTTTTCTCCTATGTTAACCCTTGACAAGCTTTATATCAGATAACTACGAGTGTAACAGTAAACAGGATAAATTTAGAATACATGAAAGGGGGTGGAAAGAATTAAGCTTTTATGCTTTCCACACCAAGATGGCATTCTAAGGGGAAAAAAATCAAACGATACAACTTGGATGAAGGTGAAAACACCCACGCCGCTATTGCCGATGTAGAAAAGGGCAATGCGGAATCACAATGGCAGGGGGTAGAACAAGCAGTTGAGGGGGGGGGGCTCGGAGCGATGCCAAAGCTGCCCGCCGCTTCGGGGCATGAAACGGCGCTGCCCGAAAATGCAAACGATCTCTGACAGCCAGATGGAGAGAGCTAACGTCGGGAGATTGTAATGGGATTTGGAGGCTAAAAGAACAAAAGCCTATCCTCAACGAGGCTGAGCCAAAACTGGGGAATGCTGCGGAGGAGTCCCGTGGAGGAGGAGGAGCATTCCACAAATTAAGCCCAGCCTAGACATGCACAGACTGAAGCACCTCCCACTACTGGATGCTCTGAACAGCTCATGGGAGAATTATAAATGCAGCAAGAAGTTACAAAAAGAGGGAAGAAAAATAAAAATTGTAATAATGTATTTGAGTCACAAACTATGCAAACTCAGTCTCAAAATGGTGATTTTAGCAGACCAAAGACATTAGGTAGTAATAAGAATTGTTGAAATCAGATTATTTTTTGCATTCTGAATACCATCAATCCCCAACACTTTTTGTTTTATTTTCAATTGCCCTATCCCTATTAAAGCAGTTGTGAATATGGCATTACTGAAATAATTTTCTTTTAATTTGAACTATTTGAGTGGTTAATTTAGACTAACCTCCAAAAGGGAAGAGAAGTTTCAGATGTTTTAGAATAGAATGAGCTGCAAGGGTTCTTGGAGGTCTTCTAGTCCAATTCCCTGTTCAAGCAGGAGACCCTATACCATTTCAGATAACTGTTCTTCTTAAAAACATCCAGTGATGGAGCACCCACAATTTCTGGAGGCAAGCTTTTTCACTGGTTAATTGTCCTCACTGTTAGGAAGTTTCTCCTTAATTCCAAGTTGCTTCTCTCTTTGATTAGTTTCCAAACATTATTTCTTCTCCTGGCCTCTGGTGCTTTGGAGAATAATTCGACCCCCTCTTCTTTGTGGCAGCTTCTCAAATACTGGAATACTGCTATCATGTCACCGTAATTCTTTTCTTTAGACTAGCCAAACCCAAATCCTGCAGCCCTTCTTCATACGTTTTAGTCTCCAGGCCTTTGATCATCAATTGCTCTTCTCGGAACTTTGTCCAAAGTCTCAACATTTTTTATAGTATGACCAATATTGATTGCAGTATTCCAGATCTGGTCTTACTAGGGTTTTATAAAGCATACTAATATTTCACGTGATCTGGATTCTATGCCTCTGTTTATACAACCCAGGACTGTATTATCTTTTTGGCTGCTGCTGCACACTGCTGGGTTATATTGAAGTGATCATCCATTAGAACTCCAAGGTCCCTCTCAGAGTTACTATTTTTGAGTCAGGTCTCGCTTAATCTATACCTATACCTTTGTTTTTTACTGCTTAATGTAAAATCCCTGGGATTTTTCCTTTAAATCCCTGGGATATTATCTGTCAGATCCCAGTGATTTATACTTGTCAAGGTCAGGTAGGTGTTCTCTTACCATTTTCCTGCTTATTTTTTAATTTCTAATTTGTCTTTTTACAGTAGGGTTTTTTTGGGGGGGGGCGGGGAATATGTTGGACTATAATTTTCTTTTTGTGTGAAGACTGATGCAAAGAATGAGTTAAGCAGCTCGGCTTTCTCCCTACTGCCTGTTACTTCCTTGCCATCTTTTCTCTTTAATGGACCTACTGTTTCCTTGACTTTTTTTCTTGTTATTAATATGTTGAAAGAAACTTTTTTATTATCTTTGACTTTTGTTGCAAGTCTTTGTTCATTCTGAGCCTTTGCTCTCCTGACTTCATTTTTGCATGTTCTGGCCATCTGCTGATAATCAGGCTTAGTTAAGTGTTCCACTTTCCATTTTTTTGTGCTTGTCCTTTTTGCCTTTCAGTTTGTCAGAGGGATCTTTGCTCATCATGCTGATTTGTAGTTTTTCTTTTTCAGTGGTATTGTGCTGGGATGGACTTCTAATGATTTCATTTTTTCAGACTTTCCCAGGATTTTCATCCATGAAATCTTTTCTAGGCTCTGTCTGAGTTCATTAAAACCAGTTCTTTTAAAGTTTAAGACACTGGTTGGATTATTTTCTATTGTTTGTGTTTGCATTATATTTAATTCCAGTATGACGTGGTCACTTTTACCCAAGTTTCTGGCAACTTCAACTCCCTCTATCACTTCTTCTCTATCAGTAAGAATTAGGTCCAGAATAGTTTTACTTCTAGTTCCCTCCTCTATCTTTTGGATGGCAAAGTTGTCATCTAGGTTGGTTAGGAATATATTTGATCTCCCACTTGCTTCAGAGTGTTTCTCCCAGTTGATATCTGGACAATTAAAGTCTCCCATTGCTACTGTGGTATGCTTCCTACATACATTCATTAACTGGCTGGCAAAGAGTTCATCTATTTCCTCTGATTGGTTGGGTGGCCTGTAATGTACACCTATGTCAATGTTACTTCAACTTTAGTTTAAAGCCCTTCTGATAATTTGGGCCAGTCTTTTTCCAAGTACATTTCTCCCTGTTGTCATGAGGTGCAGCCCATCTCTTGCCAAGAGTCCTTTATGAAGGTAATGCAGTCCATGGTCAAGGAAACCAACGTTTTCTCTGGCAACACCAACCCTTTATTCAATGGTTTATTTCCAGAATTCTTTTTCCCCCCCAATGGGTGTTGACCTTTCTTTGGGAGTACTGATAATAACACTATTTGTACTCCCAGCTCCTTAACTTTGTTGCCTAGTTGCTTATAATCTCTCAGTATTGTACTCAGGTTCTTTGTTGGGTCATTCATCCCAATGTGAAGGAGGAAGAAAAAATAGTAATCTGTAAACCGAATTATTTTGGTTAGGTTCTCAGCCATATCTTTGATTTTTGCTACAGGGAGACAACGTACCTCCCTAAATTGTATGTCCCATCTACAGATGGCTAGTTCTGTTCCTTTGAGAACAGAATCTCCTATTATCAACATTCACATTTCTTTTTTTTTGGGGGGGGGTGCAGTCTGTGGGGCTTTTCTGTTTATCTCAGATGTGTTTGTTAATGTGACTTTTTAAGAGATTTGATGCTGTCTCTTCTCCTGGTGTCTGCATGTCTTCTTGGAGAGGGAGGCTG